CTCACTCTTACGATGTGCCTGCTCAGTGTCTCTCTGTCATCTGACTGCTTCCCTCTCTCTGCACAGCTCGCACCCTCCACGAGGTTTCTCTGCACGAGTCCATTCGATACGCTCCAGGAGACGCTGTGGAGAAGTGGCTCAATGAGCTGCTCTGTCTCGACTGTCTCAACATTCCCAGGCTCATCTCTGGCTGCCCGCTTCCACAGACCTGTGATCTGTATCCTTCATTTTGTTCATGCCTCTTTTTCTTTCCAATGGTAGCCTAATAGTTACCCAGGATCCACTGCTGCACGTGTGGTTTAGGTGGTGAGCGAGTGTACAAACACCAACACTGGCTCAATCAAAGTTTGTTTTTCTTAAATGCTTTTTTTTTGATCTATAAAACATCAGAACACTAAATGCTGTCTGTTAGAAATTCCACCACATCTCACATTTAGGGCAACCAATATTCCAAAACTTTATTGTCAAATAACACAACAAAAATCAGCAAATCTGCACATATCCGATGCTGCAACCCAAAACACCTTCATAGTTTTGCTTGAACTTAAATGATTATCATTCAGATTGAGGTTGACCAACCTGTATTCATTGAAAACAAGATTAAAATTAAATGTACAGCTACACTGATTCAAAATCTTTGATCCAAACCCTTTGAAAAATGGATGAAAGTCAATATAGCTTTCAAAAAACACATAAATATTTCAGATATTACTGACCCTGGTGATTGCCCCAGCATCTGAATTCTATCAGATCCAAATAGGTTTTAACTGCAGCGGCTCAAGCTCTTAACGGTAATAAATATAATGGTTATTTTTCTGACACTCTCCCACATTCAATACTTGAGTCTTGGTTTCGTCCTTAACTTGCACTGTTTAGGTATTATGTCAACAGAGACACACTGTTCTGCTACCACAAAGCATCTGAGGCTTTTCTGCAAAGGTTGATGGCTCTTTACGTGGCATCACACTACAAGGTGATCTTAGTTTATGTTCACTTCGCCTTTTTTTTCCCCCCCACAGGGAGCAATATGTCATACACACAGTGTTGTGTGTCTTCTTTATGTCTGTTTGCTGAATCACTGTTTTCTTTGGCTCCAGAATTCTCCCAATGACCTGCAGATGTTGTCCGATGCTCCGGCCCACCACCTTTTCTGCCTGCTACCGCCCGTTCCTCCCACACAGAACTTGCTGCCTGAGGTTCTCGCTGTGGTGCAGGTACTCGAAGACGCCATTAAGTCATTGTTAAATTGTTGCTATTGTTTTTTAATTTGAAAGAAATCGGTTAAATATGACATCTTCACTCACGCTAAATGAGCCACTTCTTTGTTTCTGTCAATCATTTAAATCACAAACACACATATTGTCCAGCCTCATCACTTTGAGTCTGACTGTGTTTTTTGCGACAAACCAGCTCTTTGGTTTGACTCATGCATGAGTTTGTTCCTCTGGTTCCTCAGGTGTGTCTTGAGGGGGAAATATCAAGACAGTCCATCCTCAACAGTCTGTCCAGAGGGAAGAAGGCCTCAGGTGACCTCATCCCCTGGACTGTGTCAGAACAGGTACACACAGCTTTCCACAGAAACATTACAGCTCATGTCTCTGCAATGTAATGAGGAATTCTTTGCTCCTCTTATTGCAGTTCCAAGACCCAGAGTTTGGCAGCCTCTCTGGAGGCAGAGTGGTGCGAATAGCTGTCAATCCAGACTACCAAGGGGTAAGAACACGTAAAGGCCTCAGGGTGTTTGCTCTTGTTTTTACTTTATATAGATGTACTGTGTAGGTATGTTTGCACTGCGAGCGCTTTCCCCGAGATTAGGAATGTATTTAGGGAACTCTACCAATGTTTCCACTGGAAGAACCAGAGTCTAGATTAAGTTTTGTGGAAAAGTTTTACACCTTAAAAGAATCTGATTGACTTTGGGGACTTTTAACAGGGCTTGTAGTGCTTGTTGTTCACTGATGAGTTTCTGCACTATTGTTTTGAAATGCATTTTTAACGACAGCAATAATAATGATTAGGAATAAATAGTAGTACAGATAACAATACATAGTAATAAAAATAGTAAAAATAATAGTAAAAAATAATCTTAAAAACAATAAAAAAATGAGCTTTTGATACATCAGCTGACCAGTTTACCTTCACAGAGCTTTGTCCCTGCTCAGGAAATTACATGTTCCAGAGAAACGTTTAGCCGTGACAAAGTTTCTGGACGTTAGTTCTTGGGAAATGAAAGGCCCTGGAGCTTTTGGTGGAGTTGCATCATATGTACTTTTTCAACCTGTCCAACAGATGGGTTATGGCTCCAGAGCGCTCCAGCTGCTCCAGATGTACTACGAGGGCAAGTTTCCCACCATGGATGAGAGCACAAAGTCAAACCACAATGAAATCACTTCCATCAGCAGTGAGGTAAGACATAAACTGTTTTCAGCAACATCTGATTGACATTATTTCCTCACTTGAAGTGTAACTAGAGTAGGAATTCAGCTCGTTGCCAAGTAAACACAGATCTCTGTCGGAAACTCTGTTGTTGTGGTGTGTTGTGCAGGCTGTCAGTCTGCTGGAGGAGGTGGTCACTCCTCGGAAAGAGCTCCCTCCTCTACTGCTGAAGCTGAGCGAGAGGAGAGCAGAGAGACTGGACTATTTAGGAGTTTCTTATGGCCTTACTGCACAGCTGCTCAAGTGAGTTGAACAGAGAGCAGCTTTTCAATTGCTTTATGTTTGTTTGCAAAATTAAAAATGTCAAAAACTGTTTGCAATCTGACAGGTTCTGGAAGAAAGCAGGTTATACACCAGTCTACTTAAGACAAACCCCTGTAAGTAAAATCATTCAGTAGCTTTTGTGTGTGTTCTTTTATGTTTGTATTTATGTATTTTGCTGCTGTCAGATTCTGTAACAATCGATGTTTGTGGTTGTATCTAGAATGACCTGACAGGAGAGCACTCGTGTGTGATGCTGAAGGAGCTGAATACAGATGAAGCCCCAGAGCAGAGCCAGTGGCTCTCTGCCTTCTGGAAAGGTGAAGCTGCCTGCAACACCTCAGGAGACCTGGTTTGTTTATTCCCATTACACTCCTGCGTTACTCTTTTTTTTTTGTTGTTGTTTTCCTCAGATTTCCGCCGGCGCTTCCTGTCTCTGCTCTCCTATCAGTTCAGCAGCTTCCATCCGAGCCTGGCACTCAACATTTTGCAAAACAAGAAGTCGAAGGAGGAGACAAGCAGTAAGACTCTCACACCTGCACACCGATCTGCTTTCTTCAGTCTGTTACCAAACCTAATCTGACTCGTCTCTCACCTCAACAGCTCTCAGTCGCTCCGAGCTGGCAGCCCATTTCAGCCCGTACGACCTCAAACGTCTGGAGTTGTATTCGAGGAGCATGGTGGACTATCACCTCATCATGGACCTGATCCCAGCTGTGGCACGCATGTTCTTCCTCAAGCAGCTTGGAGACGTCTCCCTCTCGGCAGCACAGTGTGTACGTGTCCTCAGAGTTTTGTGTCCCAGATGCTCCTTTGTTGTAGCTGCTTTGTCGCAGATGTTGATTGTCTGATGACTTCTGTAGGCGTTACTGCTGGGAATAGGATTGCAGCACAAGTCCGTGGACACGCTAGAAAAGGAAATTGATCTCCCAAGCTCGCAGCTCATGGGCCTCTTCAACCGTCTCATCCGAAAATTTGTGCAAGTGAGTTGAAAAGCCGTGCATGAAGATGTTGTACAGCCTCCTATTAAAACAGCTGCACTAATACGTCCACTGTGTTCACCCTCGTTGTGTCAGGTCTTCACCAGCGTCCAAGAAAAAGCAATTGAAGCAGAGATGGCAACCACTAAAGATGTTACCATGGAGCCAACTGCCAGGAGCCTTAATGAAGATCTGGTATGTGCACTTGATTATATGCAACACTTAATTAAAGCTGGGACAATTCCTTTTTTGATTACCGCCAGTTTAACTATAAATATCTACAATTAGATAATATTTAATTGATGAAGCAAAAATATTTACATTTATCTCTCAAATTCTAGAACATGCCCATCATCTTTCTTTTATTTAATACTCAGTTTAATATGTTTCTGTTTTGGACTGTTGGTTAATATTAGTATTTAATCTAAAGACATATAATTTAGTTTTATGACATCATGACAAGAATTTTTCACTATGTTCTGACTAAGACATTTTCTCGAAGTAATATTTGAAAATGATCAACACATTGCTAAAAGATGTTTTTCCACTGATAGAATGAAGCAGCAAAGGAGTTTGAGGAGAGACACAAGCAGGACGTAGAGAAAGTAAAGGAAATGGACCTGGAAGAGTAAGTACACATCCATTATTTGTCCCTGCATTTTTACTTTTTAATTAGGGTGATATTTACTGTAGTTGTAATGGTTTCTTTTGTACTTTCAGATACAGGATTCGTGGAGATGATGAGGAGTGGGACCAGGTGTTGAAGAAAGCAGGGAACACGGCTATTGTCAGCATCAAAAGGTGAGGCGACCACCAGGATTTTTTTTGGGAGGGAAGGAATGTGGTGTTTGGTTGTTGTAGAAACTCGTTTCTAATGATGTCCTTCTACCAACAGTGACAAGAAGAGGAAATGGGAAGGGGGAAACGCCATAGCGAGCAATGGAGCTCCGCAGCATGGGAAACTAAAAAAGAAGGAAATGCAACATGGAAAATTCAAAAAGAACAAGGACAAGCATGGAAAGTTTGGAAAAAAGGCATGACGGGAAAGAGTAACCGTGAACCGTGCTGCAGTGACAGGACTGTATGTGTAATTTTGAGAGTTTTGGATATCTTGGACTGACTTGCAAACACAGACATGTGCCCTCAAGAGTGAATATCCTTTGTTCCTTTTTTATTTTTTTAAATTCAGATTTGTTTTCCCCAGTTTTTCCTCAGATACACTGGCATTTCTACATGTCAAAACAGGTTTGTTTCTATCACCCGTATGTGTAACACTGCACAGACACTGTAAATCAGCAGGAAATAACACACTTCAGCCTCATGTTCTAAACAAGTGTCATTTACTTTCACATATGTCAAACAATTCACTGTATTTTTAGTGGTCAGTTTGTCATTATTTCTATAAATACTTAAAAAAAGGTTAATGGAAAATTGATTTGTCTTTTTTTTTTTCCCCCTCAAACTAAAACCTGAGATATATGATGAGCTTTAGGCTCCACTGGAAAGGTCACTTGAAAACCTGAGGATGTAACTCCTTCCACTTCTGTTTGAGCTGCTGTTTCACATCCTCCGGTGCAAAGATGCAGTCTATGGCCTGCTGGGAGAGCTTCCATACGTCTTCATGATTTAGACCAAATGTGGAAGCTGCCAGCTGATATTCTTGAGACAAGTCTGTGCAAAAGACTCCTTTATCATCGGTCTGTAATGGTCAAAGAACAACAATCATTCAGGGCTGGTTGTTGATTTTCTCACATCTCCATAAAAGTTAACTTTAAAAAGCTAAACATGAACATCAGTTGAGTTAACAGATTGTAGTTTCACTTGACAGAAAACCTGCGGTTTAAATTGGGGCATTTAACAGGTAGGTCAGGTGTAATAATAGTGTCTTTGAAACCTGATTCATAGTCAAGTTGAGGTATTTTTGGCTCCTACTCTATTTATCTTGTTTTGGTCACTTCCAAGTGCTACAACTAAGTACAACTGCAATTCTACATCGGCGGAAAAGTAAAGCAAAAATCTACAACTAACTATTACATTTCAAAATGTTCAGACAACTACTGCCCACATTTTGTCTGTAGCAAAACCTCTAGTACAAAAAGTTGAAATAATTGTAGATAATTTTTGAGTTAAGGCACAGTTTTATTACCCACTGAAACGCCAGCAGTTTCTGGGAGTTTTTTTTTTTTTGCTTCATAGTTTGTACAGCAACTTAAAATCCTGTACCTCTATAGAAAAAAGCACAACCATGACTAGAAGTAGAGAGAACTCAAAAAGGTGTTCTGTTAAAAATATGTACTGATCAGTGAGGAACGTAGAGAGGACACTTACACAAATTACACTTGGGTGTCCCAACTGGTACCAGTAGTTGAAGTGATGTTTGGAATAACACGGCACAGTTTGTCCTTTGACATTTGATGTCAGGCAAAGCTCTACAAAGAAAAAAAAAAGATTGGCAAATAGAAGTATGTCAGCATAGTAAAGTTTACACACACACACAATGTTAATTATTTCACCCGAGTCTTACCCAGAGGTATGTTGTTGTTCACCACTTTGTCAACAAGGCTTTGAGATCCACCAACTTCAGGATGTAAGAAAGTGCCGTGACCGATTCTGTCTGGAGGAAGATTCAGCAGCAAATCTGACTCGTCCATCTGGGTTGGAACCTGAAACGATTTTCATCGTATTGACATTGTACTTGCACATTATGTGACTGAAGTCAAATTGTATAAAAATGTGATGGTCATACTTCTGAAAGGTGCAGTGACAACTTCAGTCCAGAGTTTTTAGCCTTCTCTAGGGCAGGTAGTAGGTATTTGCCATGGCCCACCTTAAAATAAAAGCTACGTTAGCATATGAAATATATACATACATATTAAGGTATGAAATATGACAAAATAAATGACAACACACTTTTCCATCTAGAAAGATAATCATTGATGTGGTTGGGTTAGGAGGGAAAAACTGCAACATAATTCTTAAGTTGTCCCTCAAAATGGACAAAAATACATTTAAAAATCTAAATAGCATTCCACCTGTCAGTACCATTATTTATCCAGATGAGAACTTTCAACTCAAAATAAATCCCACCAACTGAAAAGAGTCTGCAAAGCAATTTCTTTTTCAGCTACTTAAAACAAATGAGTTAGATGAGTCAAAGCTTTTGGTCAAAAACCTTTTTTAAATAAATGTAAAGTGATACATGAATAAAAACTAATAGGTAAACAATTGTACAGAAAAGTATCAAACAAATACTTCAGAAAACCTACAAAAAAATACTCGAGTAATGTGCCAGCACCGTGTAATTGTGTATTAGTAAAACACCTAATAAAATATTATTTGGCACTGTCACCTCAGCCCCTAACTGACCGTTGGATCTCCACTGAGGTCGAGTCCCAACACCAAACCATCAGATGAGAGCATAAACTCCTCTGCCAGTTTCACTGTCTCCATGGCAACTTCAGCCCCATTCCTGCGGTCAACCGCCACCAGAAACCTTCAAGGTAAATGACATAGAGGATAATTCACTACTGCAGACAGCCATGAAGTTGTTGCTTTATTCTTACAGTAAAATATTTTGAACAATTTTGATTATGAACAGAAGCAGAAATTCACCCAAAAAACATGTATGTGGTTGTTGTGCGCTGCAGTAATGAAAGGTGACGCCTACCTGACATCAATGTCTACTCCCTCATTTTTACACTGCTGAATGGCTTTAATGATTGTTTCAACATAACTCCTCTTTGTCAACCCTGACAAAAAATGAATAAATACACCTGTAAGTACATGGTAAAACAATCCTGACAGCACATCATGTCATTAAAATATTGAAGTCCATGTTGACATCCTTACCTGTGTCTTTCTTTTCCCTTGGTGTGCTTCTTAGCTCTAAATATTTGACACCATCAGCTGCAAACTCCCTGATAACATCTGTAGCCACCTGGAAAATACATTTAATAAGACAACTTGTTGCTGATCCCAAAGTGCTTCAATATTGCGGCTGTGGCTCAGGTGGTAGAGCGAGTTGGTCAATGATTGGAAGGTCGGCGGTTCAATTCAGCCCTGTAACCTGCGTCACAGTCGTTATGTTGTTTGGGGTGGTGGTCGGATGGGCCGTAGGTGCAGAATGGCAGCCACGACTCTGTCAGTCTGCCTCACCACCACCAGAATGAATATGTGTGAATGAATAACTGACAGTGTAAAGCGTCTCTGAGTGCCTAGAAAAGTGGTATAGAAATCTGATCAATTAATATAAGGCAACTGGATCTCTCTTTTCTTAGTTCTTGAAAATGTTTCAGTTCTCATCCAAGAGGCTTGTTCAGTTCTAACTGACTGGTGGGAAACCCTGGTATACACTATTATTGTCATCCCCAAATTACGCAGCAAATGATCCATTAACGACCTGGTACTTACAGTGAGTGGCTGTGAGCCTACTTATGGAGACATCTCAACACTATGTTAGTATCTGATAAGTGCTATCATAGACCTCCTTCTATATTTAGAGATGGCTGTTCCATATTAAGTTTTCTCAGGGGAGTGCCCCCTATCTTTCAGATACATATGGACTGCTGAGTCATATAGCAGGGGAGTGGCTCATCTGTTTTTCCTGTGCCATGCCGCGTGCTTGTGGACATATATTTTGATGTGAGGATGACAATATACACCTTGAACTCCTCATCAGCCAGTTAGAACAGAAGAAACCTCTTAGATGAGAGCTTAGACATCCTCAGGAACCAAAAACAAAGAAGTCCAGGATGGCCTGAATGACTGACAGTCTACACAGACATATCTGTTGCTAATATTTAGGGACACACAGACTTGAAAAAGCGCAGCACTTTTTAACTGAGTCCGTCCTCACCATCAGGATATCCTCCTCCGTGTCCACCAACTTGTGGATAACCTTGAAGACTTCAAAACACCTGTGGACACGCAAGACATGTTTTAATGTTCCTCCTTAGTCCCAGAAAGTTAAATCAGTACCATTATAATATACCACACATATGCCCAGAGGTTATAAGTACATTGCTTTACTGCATATTTGATGGTGTAGAAAGACTAAAGCAAGAGGTCAGAGTTACATGTAAGAAGATTACTTAGTAGCTATACAGGAGGAAAATGTAAAGGGGCTGTAAACAGGTTGTTTTAGAATAAATAAAGACACTGTTGGGATAAAAAAATTAAAAAAAAAAACACTGACTGACTGACAGACAGAGTTACACGCACTCCTCCAGAGTCCTCTGCTGGCCTTTGCCGATGGCCGTCATGCTGTGTTCAATGTTGAGCTGCGGTTTTCGGCGGATGAGCTTCTCGATGGTTTGGAAGCTGACAGAGCCGTTCAGGTGAGCATGAAGCTCCTGGTGACATTCAAAACGCTGACGTTAGCATGTCGCTAGCTAGCACAAACGCTAACTGAGTTCACTTTTACATGTTTAGAAACTTCAAATTCCGTCTCTTCTAAACATTCCCTCATTAAAGCTGCTCTCTTTACTCACCACTTTCGGCAACTCCCGGTAAAAGTCAGCGTCATTATCCATGACAAAGTAAAACAGAAGTCCGAGCCGGTCTGTGAGTCCTGCGCTGTCTTCTGCACTAAAACCTGCTTCTGTGTTCAGTCGATATTTTCATGCAGCACCAAGAGGTGTAACAAAGATTAAGCTCCCAGGCTGCGGGCGGTTCCCTCGTCAAGGTTCCGCTGCTCCTGCTGTGCCAGAAGTGTTTGTTTCTACATGATAAAAACGACATATTTCTTTTTTTTCAGGAAGTACCTTCCTAAGCTGACTTTAAACACATTCAGGACACTTTTCCCACTATATACTACATC